TAATGTAATCAAATTTGTTCATCTTTTCCATTTGTGTTTTCTGAATCTTAAGAAATTCTTTCCTGAACAGATTATTAAATATATTTTCTTGAATTTTCTTCTAATATTTTAAAAACAGTGATTTAAAAAAAACTTCAGGTTTTAAACATTTTGGAATTTATTCACAATATTTTGTGTTACTTTGTGCATGAAATACAGCCCTTGTGTTAATTTTCTGATACAAAGAACCAATATTTTATGAAACTGTATATCAAATACCCAGTAACTGATGTACTTATTTGTAATCACCACATCATGTACCAAAAATATATATGCCTCTTTCTGAACTTTTGGGTGTATTCCATTGGTCTTTGTGTCTCAACACCTCTATCACACTATTTTATCTTGCATTTTAATGTCTGTGGTTTAAATTTCTCTTCCTTGTATTCTATCTCAAAATTCTTTTGATTGCTTTTGGCCTTTTTTATATGAATTATGGTTCATTTTTTAATAAATCACTTCTTTCCTACCTCCTTCAGGGAAGACTTTTCCCCCATCCCATCCTTTGCAAAGGTAATTGCCCTCACAGATCTAGGACCCAGTCTTGACTCCTCTATCAAATGGCCATCGATTCTTGGGTTACTCCCTTGACCTTTCTGAGTATTAGTTTCCTTCACTGTCAAATCTATTTTGCCTCTTTCAGGGTGGCTGGGCTGATCAGATTCAATCGGAGTGTGAGAATTCTTTAAAATGTTCAAAATTGTACTCTCAGGATGGCCTGTGACCATATGCAATTTGGACTGTCTGTCTCCAAATTTCTCTGCCTCTCCTGACTCTTCTTTTCCCCCAACTTCCAGTGCTGATGTACAAAGGTGTGCTGTCTGGAAGAAAGGATGGGTTACAGGCAATTTGGACTTACTTAAAAGCTTGCATCCCATTTCACACTCTTATTTGGTAACTTAAATTAAGGTGCTCAAACTTTTTGAATTTTAATTTCTTCATCTTTACACAAGACATAATAATTTTTTCCCCTAAATAGTGTCATGAAATTCAAAAGAGATAGTGTGAATAAAAGTGCTTGGAAAATGTGGGCCTTGTAAGAATCATGGACTTGCTGAGATTTACATGAGGAAAATGACTTGCAGAAGGCACTGATGCTGGGTGTATGAAAGGGCCTTTACTTTCTTCACCTAAAGAAAGGATTGTAGGAGAATAGAATCCATCTGTCTGCAAGTATGGCTGATCCAGTAAAGTTTCTACACATTTTTCTAGAAGATGTAGAAATTCTCTTTCCTAAAGACCATTTCCTTTAGGCTGTGTGGAGAAGTAGAAGTGGGTGAGCAGTTCATGCTGTCTGTCTAGACAAAGCAGCAGAGGTAGCCTTATGCAGATGCTGGGCTCAGGGCTGACATGAGAGAATGAGAACTCTGAAGGTGCAGGTATTGGAACAAATCTGTCTTTGGCCCTTCTTGCTGACTACAGACAGCATGATTGATCTCCAAGTGTGATCCATCATTCGAATGTTGCAGCCACTAATTCAGTTACAACACATACTGAGGTCAGTTCTGATGTCACGTGAAAGCACCTCCCCTGGAGTGAGCATATGGCTCTATCCTGCATCTTTCTAACCCTTTCTAGTTGCACAACTGGAGTATGTCTTGCCCCTGTGACAGGATCTGACTTGGGCTTGGGCCAAATGCCATTCATGGATAATACAACAAATAATACAACACTATAATCCATTCACTTAATCTAATACAAAAGGTACTTTTCCTCTGTAATTAAGTTCTTGCCCTTTCCCTAATTTTACTAAATGAAATTTCTTATCTGTTCTTTAGCCCCCTTCAGGGCAAAACTGGGCTGTGTTGGAGTTCTTCTAAGCCATTATCACAAGTGCTGGCCCTTCCTTCGGCCTCTTTTAGTGGCCCCTGTGAATTGAGCAGAGCCCCTGGATTTCTGACTTGAATTTGAATCCTTGTCTCTAGAATTCATGATCTGCTTGTTTTTTAAACTCTGGAGATCCCACTATTTCTGGCCAATCTTCTCCTCCTCCTCCATCTTATCCCTGCATATTCTTGCACCCATATTCATGGAAACTCAAGAATTTCTACACATGCTCCAGTGCCTTGCTTGTTGAGCCTTACACTGTAGATGAACCACATGACTCTTCCTGGTGATTCTTAATTCAGAGCTTAGGGCCAGACTTTGAGATCAATCAACTAAATTTATTCCAAATAGACTATAGCTGACATTACTTATTTTTTTAACATGCAAACATGAAGCTTAGAAATAGCTGCTCTGATCATAGTTGTGGTTGTCTGCTTTGGTTCTCTTTCATGAATGAAGGACGTGTTATCCTGTTTATTGGAAGTTATTCTTGGCAAGAAGAAAGTAGACTTAGTTACTTTTTGTTGTTGTTATGCTGAGAATAGTTAGTTGAGAGTTATAGGTAACGTGATCCAAAAGTGAGACATGGGCTCAAAGGTATCAGTGTTCTGACTATTGGTGAAAGTTAACTTAGCACACCAATAAGGAATTCCTCCATTTTTAGTATTTAAAAAAATATCCTTAGCCTAAATTTGGTTAGAAGCAAATAGAGTAAAATGCCATTGTCAAGGTAGAACTTGTAAACCCACTAAACACAAATGCTATGAAAGAAAGATGGGAAACTAAAATGGGATAGAAATACAATTTCATTTGGCCCCTTTGCCCTCCTAGTGGATGACCAACACCACTGCCACTTCATTAACTGTTCTGGGTTTAAAAAGGCTGAGCCAACCACAGAATGTAATGGCAACAGCACAGTTAAAATAAAGACTCTCTGCTATGCTTATGCACCATGGAATGATTTTCAAGGTACTTTCTAACTTCTTGTTTGAGCTCCAAGTTCTCAATATTTGCATAAGAAAACAGAGAAAGAAAGAGCTGAGTTTTACGGACTTGGTTTACAGGAAAACATGGTCTTGCCTGAGTCTAAATTCTCTTGTCATCATAGCATTTAGCTGCGGGACTGAGGCCAACAACTGGTTTCTATGTCAAGGTCAATGTCTACAGAAGTTCCTTGTTTCTGGATGTTCAAGTCACCCAACACAGGGTCAAAAACTATCTCCAAATACTATCTCCAACCTAGGGCTAAAACAGTTATTTTATGCATTGAATAAAAAAAAGTTTCATCCATTAAAATTAGTTTAGAAAAAAAGTAAAATAGAGGGGGAAAGAAGACTGTGACACATCTAGAAATGGATTTCCAACTGTGACCTGTCTACTAGGATTTGTGATGCTGGCTGCTATAGTCTCCCAAAAAACAGTGTATGAGTATATATACGTGCATGTGTGAATGTGTGAATGCGTGTGCTTGCTTTCCTTTTTTTTTTTTCCTTCTTTCTGGGGCCCTATTTATGTTTTTTGGAGAAATTTCCAGGAACTTCTATATAATGCCTTCTGTAAAACCACATCAGCAACATCAAAGTTACTTGCCTCTCCCCACTGAGGAAGTTTGAAGGAGAAAGCTTGAGAACTCAGTATGTTCTGCTACCCTCCAGCACTGGCAAATTGTTGCAGTGAGGAAAACTTTTAGTCTTTGGCCCTTGCTACTAGTGACTCATTGTTTTAATCATGAGACATACTATTGGCATTAGAAGTTACAGCGTATAGGGTAGAATGATTCATTATTCAGAACCATTGATAAATCAATTTTCCCTGCTCTGAGATTTGATATATGAATTCCTATTAAGAATTTCCCCAGCAAGAACTTTTTTTTTAAAAGGAGAATAAAACAGAATAAAACCAATCAAAACAAACCAGTGTAAGAGATACAAAACTTCAAAACATTACACAATCAACAATAGTTACCACAATGCTTTTGATGTTTTCAAAATAGCTACAGATAACTTCAGATATTATAAAAATCAAATAGAACACAATAGAATAGAAACAATAAAAACAAAACAATGAATGCAATAAAGGACTTCAAAACAAGCTTATAATAAATCCAAAATTGCTACCATTATGTACTTGCTATCTTTGAAAAGCCGCTCCTGCCATTGGATTTGACATAATCAAATGAAACAAAAGAGAGTAAAACCCAACCCAACAAAACAATGATAATGATATAGGACTTTCAAAACAAGACCATAGGGAATCAACAATGGCTACAACGCATTAAAAAAAAGGAGATCCTTTTATAAGACTATGATTTTTTAAATAACTCAAATTGTACATTGTCCTGTCACATGGTGAAGTTATTGGGAAGTAATTGCCATCAAAGACCTTATGATTTTTTCCACCAGTGAGTCTCATATGCCCAGTTTTCACCCATGGGATATGAGATGATGTTAAGTAGGAATAGTGAGCCATATCTGCTTTCTCCTTCCTAGTCTAAAGCTAAATCCAGTGGATCCATCATGAGATATAGAGGCCTTAGAAGACGGTAAAGCTACAGATAAGATTCATGTGGGTTTCTGAATCATCACTTGGAAATACATTCATTTGGACCTTATACGAGAGAAGAATGAAGTATTTTGTTAAACAAAGAGGTTTAGCAGCTGACTTTTGTTGTATTGTACTGTAGGTTTCAAAGGAAAGAGACCCAGTAGTATTTCAGACTTGGTTCTAATCGCCTGCCTCAGTGTGGGTGACTGCTTTTCTTCCTCACCCACACCAGTTTGCCCTCCTGAGCAGTTTCTCTAAGCTCCGTGTAGGTACACAGCAGCTGCACTGTTTGTCAAACAACCAATAAATCTGTGCTTGGCACTAAAGTAGCTTTCATCAGAAAGTGACCTTAAGATAACATTTACATTGCTGAAGAAGTTATTCCAAATCTGAACCAGTAGTGTCCCAACTCAGGCCCTCCTGGTGGCTTGAGGCAGGGAAGCTAATGAAGTGTAGAGATTATTAATGACTCTATCTTCTCTCTCATCCATCCCCTCTCCTTTTTCAAACTTGCAATTATGTTCAGCAGTGTCAGATCTGTTCATCTATTTTTGACATGTAAATAGAACCTATTCCTTTGAAATTTGCAGAGGAAATGTCCACGTGATTGTGTCAGCTCATGTCTAGAAGCAACCAGAATTGACTGGGAAGGCACAGATTCAAGAAGAAGAAAAACAGCACAGGCCCTACCTTTCTCAGGTCAGTCACAGTTCCCAAGGGGTCCCAAGTGACCATAGATGGAAAAATAATCTTAGTTTTTCATGGCATCATTATTAGCAGTTGCTTTAGAAGATACAAGCACAGCAACAAGTAGAACGTACTTACAATTTTCTTGATCACAGAGACCATGTGAACTTCTGTTGAGCTGACTTCAAGTAACAAGCGAGAAAAAGTCCTGTAAAGATACAGATAAGAAACATTTGGGCTTAGATTGCTTTATTTAAAAAAAATTAGTAACATTCACTCTTTTTAAAATTGTATTAATTGTATTAATATTTCTTTTTAGAACAAAATTAAAAATTCCACAAATTAAGAAATAGGACACACAACTCATCTCTTATCCCATAATCCAGGTATAGCCACTAGCAACTCATGGAACAAGAGTGGTTTGTATGATATATAATATGTAATTGTGTTTTATTATATATTATTGTTATTTACAAAACAGAGGTCATATTGCACATACTGTTTTGTGATCTGCTTTTATCTCATTGAATAATATATTATGAGAATCTTCCGTCAGTGAAAAGCTTTAGTCGTGTGCAGACAATTCTAAGATGGTTCACTATGATCCCTGGCCCTTCCTCAGCTCATCATTGTGTGCAAGCCACACAACGGGCTGGATCTCTTTCTGACTTACCTTTTGTTTTTTCTTTTTTGGTACTGGGAGTTGAATTCATGACCTTGCATTTGCCAAACAGGCACTGTGCCACTGAGCCTGGCCCCTCGGACTTACTTCTAACCGACAGAATAAGATGAGTGTTGAACTGTCACTTTTGAGATCAGGTGATGAGAAGACTGTCTAGTGGCCTGAGCACCTTCCTGTTTTCTGTTTTGCTTGTGATGAAGTCAACAGTCACATTTATAACCTGTCCTACAGATATTGTCACATGGGAAGGAAGAGAAAGAAACGTCTGACCCCAGTTAGGGAGGAACTGCATCCTGCCACGCACCACTTGAGTGGGCTTGAAAGTAGAGCTTCTCAAGTCAGGTTTCAGATTAAACCTGGAGATGACTGCGATCCTTGCAAATTCCTTCACTGTATTCTTGTAAAAGAATCAAAGCTGCACTCAGATACCTAAAAGTGTTAGATACTGTTTGTATTTTAAGTTGTTGCTTTTAGGGTAATGGAGCCGTAGGTAACTAGTATAAACCACGTTTTCTTATTTGTTTAATATCCCTAAAGTAAGGCTGTATTGTAATTTACTCAATTTTTTATTGTTGCACATTTTGACTACATATTTGTTTTCTTATTATAAACATTACTTGAATGAACATTGTAGCTATCTTGTTACATATTCTTTATTCTAAAATAAATTTCTTAAAGTGGAATACTATATTTCAAAGGGTGTGCACCTTTTAAGCCTTTGATATGCTGGTTCTCAATCCCTTTAGGGGAGGATTTATATTCCTGCTGGCTGTAGCTTGGAGTGCGGTTTTGGTTAACTCCAACCTTTCCTTTTTGAGATGTGTCTGCAGGCAAACCAGTTAGAAAACAAAACCAAAAGTAAAAATAAGAATGAAAACTAAGGTTGAATCTTGAAATATACTAGACAACTTGATGATAAGCAGTTTATTTAAAGTACCATTTTTTGAAATCAACCTGATGAATCCAACCTCCCTGAACTTGTTATTCTTATCTTTCAGTGAGTCCTGAAGTCTGAAGCCGTGATGAAACTTATAGTCCCTAAGAACATCGGTATGGATAGCAGCAGTACTGAACGCAAAGTCAACATAACAACAGGGTATCCTAAAACTCTTAAGTATGCTTCAGTCACACAAAGGGTTGTTAATAAATCTAAATTATTGAGGCCAGATAGACTGAGTTTAATGGATATTCTTTTGGCATCATTTTGTGTACATAGATACTAATGCCATTTCCAAACTCAACCCTCATTGTTGGGGAGGAATAAATATTTTAATGAATGCTATATTTTGTAACAGGCTCTGAACTTCGTGGTTGGTTTAAGCTAAGGGTGCAATTTCAGGCATCTAAATAAGTAAATAAATGAGGAAGAAAATCCATGTTAATTGCAGTAATTTGCGGTACTTTCAAATTCTTAATTAAGAAATAAAATAGGATTCATTAGCCATGCCCACTGTAGATGGCACACATAGATCACCATTATGACCAGTCACATGGACCTGAAGTCATTGCCATAAATGAAATAACAGTGAGAAATCACTGGTGTATTACCAACCAGAATGCTCAGGCATAAAGGGAGGAGAGAGAGCATCACAAAATGCTGTCCTCTGTAAAGGCTCCTCTTCCTGCTCTGGAGACTGTATTATTCTAAAACCTGTTCCCTGACCCTGGATTCCTACTCTTTTTTTCCAATCTTTGGGCTAGGTGGTTCCTTTAGCACCCCCTTCCCCAATTTCTTTGAGTCTGTCTGGCCACTACTAGTGCCTGAATCTTCAACTTTTCCCTAGAGGTTTGGGTGCCTGGACTTCAGTTTTTGCCTACCTCATTGTCTTTGTGAGTCTCAGTATTCTTGTACAAAGGAATGTAGAAGGGAACTTTGGTTATAACCAGAGGCATTCTGACTCATACTGCATCTAGAAAGTTAAGTATTATATTCAACTAGGGAGAAAATATAATTTAAAAATAATTTTTGTTTGGAACAAATGCTTAACTGAACAGGACATTGGATACTAATTGGAACTGTTCCTGGAAAATTGGAATGCTAGGCGCCCTGATGGAAATCTGTATAGACTCTCGGGGAGGGGTAGGAATGGAGTGATCACAGGTTTTCGGGTGTGTTTAAGGAGCTCTGCCTTGGTAAGGTGAACCATAGGAGTAATATCAATGTGTATCTGCAAGCAAGAACACTAATAATGTATCCTGCATCAGTGGCTGAGATGACTGGTTGTTGGGATTCTGGCAAGACCACTAATGCAGACTGGGCAGGCATCTACTGGGCCCTCCTTTTCTTACTGTCTGACCTATCATCTTACCAATGTCCAGGAAGGATGCTCTATTAATGAGATAGGCATGTGCAGATGTGAGCAGGCAACTACAGCTACCTCAGTAGAGAGAAGTGTATAGAGAATGAGAAATTTGGAGAAATCTGAATGACTCAAGACAAAGAAAGAAAATAATCCTTTTGTTGTTGTTTGTTTTTTGTCTTTTTGAGACAGTTTTGCTATGCTGTTCAGGCTGCACTTGAATGTACTTTGTAGTCTAGACTGACCTCGAACTTGCAGCAATCCTCTTGTTTCAGCCTCCTGAGTGCTGAGATTACAGGCATGTGCCATTATGCCCGGCAAAAATCATCCATTTTTGATCTCTAAAAGGAATGTGGGATCTGACTTGGGATTAGACTGTAATGTGTTTTGAGTAGGTGGAGTGGTTATTTGACATTTCCTGTAGACTAGAAGAAAGTCAGAAATGAATATTTGTGTCTTATATTCCCATAGGAAAGTCAAGAAAATAGTCTGAGATAAATTTCTTATTCTCAGGGGGTCAAGTACAGATTCTTTGAGTCAAAGCCTCCCTGTCTTTTGAGATAGGTGTCTTCCCTCTAGAAGTTCTAATGAGACAGGCTGGACGTTGCTTCACTGTCCACTTCTTCTACCCCATTCCTAAAGACTCCCATGGAGTTTATGGGGGCTAAAATAAGATCACATGTATTGTGGCATCCTACGTGTAAAAGGATCCTTCTTTCCTGGCTGCATCTGGACAAATGTCAGACCATCGCAGACAGAGAGGCCTGCTGCTGTGGATAACATGAATGATTATCTCCATTCCTTACAAAAACAAGGGATAGACAAAATCATTCTGTTTTCAATTTTGTGTAAAGGTATCATAAAGAAGATAAGGAGTTTTCCCAATCTCTGAAGTAAGTCAAGGAGGAAAAAAAAATCAAAATGGAGGCTATGTACTAGACTAGAATAAAAAACCCACTGTGTGATGTGTTCTTATAGAATCCAGGCACTCCAGCCTGGCTCAGATAATAAATGGAGCAGGATGCCAAGAATATAAAACAAAAATGGGTAAAAGTGGGCTAGAGATGTCTGAATCGTGGAAAAGGCTATGGAAAGTGTGCTTCTTTATACAGTAGGAAGGAAGAGCCAGGAGGATTCCTTGATGAAGTTCTTTCGAAAGGCTTTAAACGCAATTATGTTTCTACTATTCCATTTGAGAATTGTAACTGATTATTTCATTTTTTTAACATATATTTATAGATCATTTTGTCTTTCTCAGGTATAATATTAAGCGTTAGAGTTTCAGCAGATGCCCAGGGTTTTAAAAGGACTTTTAACACACCAGGGTTAAGACGGCCCTGCCCACTTTCTTGAATTCATTCCAAAACTAAAAGAAAAATGTGAAGCAGAAATGCAAATTCACCTGTGTTGAAGAAGAGCTGCCAAAAGTGATGCAGGTCCAACCAGGGGCCGGTAGATGCTGCAAGGAATCTGCTGCCAAAGACCTTAAGCAAAGCTGGCAGAGAGCAGTCTGTGAAAAGAACCACTGCCTTTTGGGGAGCAACTGGTCTAAAGAGAATGGGCTATTTGAGAGCACATCCCTGGCCTCATTTGGCTCTGTTGAAAATAGGGGAGTTAGAATAAGAAAACAACCAGAACTGCCATCTAAGCATATCTGCTGGAAAAGAAGCCCAGACAGGAAAAGTTCTTTACTAACCAGTTTTGCAACTGCCAATCCTGTCTTTCTTCTGGAAAGAAGCAAAGGCTAAATCATTTCTGTACATGTATATATGCATATGTATACGCATATACATACACATACACACCCTTTGTGATGCAGGGCACCTCCTATAAACAAAAAGATTGTGCTCAGTTTGGTCATAAGTTGGCTGTTATCCCCCATAAACGTTTCCAGAATTCTCAGTTAGGAAAGGGCTTATCTCAGTCAATTAAGAGCCAGAATGAAAAAGAAACCATCAGAAGGGCTCTACAAAGATATTGTAAGAGGAGTCGATAATAATTAGAGAGAACAAGTTAATGAAGAACATGTACCAAGTTGTACTGCCATCAAACAAAAGAAAAATACGCCAAGATAGCTATCATAGAACTAACCAATAAAAAAAACCAAAGCTTAGTGAACAAGATTACTTACATAAAAGAACTCCATAAAGAAATGCAAAAATGTTTAAAAAATAAAAAAGCTACTCCCCAAACCCACAAAATAAAACATAAAAATAAAAAACAACCAACCAAACAAGCCCCCCCCAAAATGAAAAACCAAAACCAAAAATGAACTAACAGACCTCAGAAAAGGAGAGGAGAAATAAGAAGTCTCCCCCAAAGTTAAGGACTCATCAAGAGCAACAAGAAGTTGAACAGAGACTCCTCAAAGTATGAAAACAGGGTTGGGACAGAAATAATGAGATGAATAAGAGACAATGCACAGAGATAATGCAAAGTGAGAAAGGATTAAGAAAGATAAATGTGGAAGATAAAATACATTAAATCTGTGCATATGCCAAGACTTGAGGAGAAGTACTGGAAAAATAGAATAGAAAGTATATTTGAAAGACTATAATAACAGAATGTTTTCCAGAAATATTGAAATCTACATACAAATTAAGAAGCTACAATAAAAAATAAAACACAAACTATCTCATGAAAAACTGATAAAGAAATATCAAACCTAAAGGTTTTTATTGTCTTTTATTGTCCAAACAAATAAACAAACAAAAATCCAACCAACACAAACCAAATAAGTAAAACAAAATTCAGAATTTATTTCTGAAGGAAAAGTTAGTTGTTTTCAGAACTTCCCACACCTACATAATACTTACAGAACCTCATTAAGAAATGAGAATGAAAATTTGTTATGCTCAAACTGTTCAAGTGCAAATGTACCAAACAATGGTAATCCAGGAAATACATTTCCTGGATCTTGTATTAAAGTTGCTCAAGGCTGGACTTAACCCACCCAGTAGAGAATGAGGAAATTATGGCAGAGAGACAGAGAGTGAGGTTGTAATGAATTTAGTGTAGGATTAAGACAAAACCACCTAAAATACCAAAAACCTCTAGTAATTATATTGGAGAAAACAACATAAATATTAATGAGCTATAAGACAACAAAAACACTGAAATAACACTAAAAATTTGGGAGAGAAAATGGCCAGCAGCCAAAGTTTAAAAATTACTACAGTACTTACACTGGGTGAATCAAGTAATATTAAAAAATTTGTACTAAAAATCATAAGTTAAAATTAATGGAAATATCACTGTTATCATCATTATCAATTAAAACTGAGTGGGGAAGGACAGTGAGAGGCTGGAGAGGAAACATATATTACATCATGTGGAAGAACTGAGAGTCAATACCTATTGAGGATCTAGAAGAGTAAGAGTATTATATAGTATGGGAAAGACAATCAAATGCTATGAATATTAAATTCTGGGTATCCAAGTAAAAACCAAATTAAACTAAAGCAAACCACAGACTATAACTGAAAGATAAAAAGAAACAATAAAAGTGGAAAGTACATGATGTCAATACGAAGACCAAATATATCCATGATATCAAAAAATATAAAAGTATATTAAAATAGATTTTCAGTTTAAATTACAAAGTAAGAGAAACTACATGAGGTGAACAAGAGACACAGAAGAAAGTGACTAGAAAGTTGAAAGTAAAAGAATGGGCAAAGGCCTAACCAGCTAAGTCAAGGAAATAAATAAAGCAAAAACAAAAATATAGAGATCCCAATTTTAAAATTACATGTGTATCAGATGGGGTTGAGCTCAGGATCCAAATTAGTAAATGGCACAAAGATAGGGAACATTATTCCTACCTACAAGGATGCTCTCAGCATTATGAATATTTATGCACCAAAGCCAATGCCAGTAACATTTATTAAGCTAAATGTCGGCACAAATTTTTAAAAAGCAAGGATATGGGAATAGCAAGAGAGTAATGATGCATTAGAGAAATCAGAGGTGCTTTTGGAGCCACGTTACATTTCATTTGGGGATTAGGTCTATTTTTCAACTCCCTGCATCTGTGCAAGCAGGTATAATAAAATCTGACAACTTTTCTCTTATCAGTCCTTCCATAGCTTCCCATCTCTGCTGCATAATTCAAAAGTCCATCCAGGATTCGGCTTTGCCTAGTTCTCCCTCATCCTGAAACATGCTCAACAGTAGAGGCTCTTATTTTTCAGACCTTCTTGCCTGGGCCTTACGTGCAGGTGTTTCCTCTATCTGGATGCATGGTATTCCCTCTGATAGCAGGATGACAAAACCTCTAAGACTTAAAGCCTTGAACACATCACTTCCTCTAGTAAAATTTCTTTCCCTTCAACTCTGCCAGGCACAGGGCACAAGTGCACAGACTCGCACTGCACTGTAACTAACCCTGTTGTTGAGCAGCTGAGACATCTTTATTCCACATCATTCTTCACTAACCACATGCGGTTAGGTACCAAGGCCTCCTCACCCCTCCCTAGTGGTCTTCCTTCCTCTGCAGCCAATTACTCTAAATTCCCTACATAGCTGAGCTCCTATTCTTTGAGGATTTTACCTACCCTTACCTTACTCTACCCTGCTGACTTAACACCTACCAGTTGATTTAGAGATCTTTGTCTCAAGACCTGCAGTTGATTCTTTTCCTTAACAATCAGTCTCTTCATCTGATATCAAGGCTTTTTGCAATCTGGACCCTTATGCCCTTTCTAAAGTGACTGTCCATTTTCCAGTCTTACACCATTTCGTCCACATTCACCATTCTTGAACCATGCAGGAACATGAATTGTGTCTGTGGCATTCCTGACTTGCATCTTGGTCACCTTCTTCATGCTCTTCCCCTTTACTGTTCACTATCCAAATCCTACTTCAGAAGCAGCCCAGAGGCAGCTCTTCCTACCCATCAGCCCACCCATCTCCATTCTGACTTCTAACATTTATTATCAACAGCTTAGCTTGGCTTTTACCTTCATTCCTGCTGTGAGTTGCATTTTATTTGTTCATATTTTACTTCATCAGTTAGCCAATAAGCCTCAGGGATTATCTCTTATGCTTTGTCTACTTTATTTGTGACATCTTGAAAGGGACTGAGAATGTAGTAGGTGCTCAGCAATCATATGTGATTTTTAAACACGTAGATTCTATTGCTTCAGTCCCTGTCATTTGGCAGGATGCTAGATCACCTGAGATTTAAGCCTTAAACAGACTCTCTCATTGCTTCCTCCTTTCCTTAGTTAGAATGACCCAATTTATATCTGTCATTTTCTAATTATTCACCTACCCTAATTAAGTACAATAGAGATGCTTAATAATTTAATATCTGCTTTCCATCTATCATTCCGATGACCCTCATATGATCTTCTGCCGAACGTAATGTGGGAGTTGTCAAGTCATTTTACAAACTGGGAAATAAAATCTAGAGTCTAAGACCACACAGAATGTCACTGGAGGGGATCAAAGGGTGGCACCACTAATCTTCTGCTTCTAATCCTTACAATAAGCATGGCTATGACACTTCCTTCAGTAGCTAGAACTTCTCTCTGAAGTGTGAATATGTGTTTTTAAAGCATTTTTTTTGCTGAAATTTCTCCTCATTTTGCTTTGATTTCACTTGCATGGTGAGGATATTATCTTCTTCCCTGATGGTAAGCACTTTTTTTCTTTCCTAAATGATGGCCCATTTGATCCCCTTTGGTTCTCTTCACCTAAGTTTCCACTTAGCAAAAGTATCCCCTGGAGAACTGGTCTGCTTTAATGCCTCCTGTATGCTTTCAAATTTGTACCTGTTTCTTGGTGGCCCATGTTTCCTGCAAGGCTGATCTCCTCGGCTAATGGAGAGCCTCTAGCTGCGGGCACTACTGACCAAATTTCCCAGTCCTGTCGGGGTGGTGGGTAGCTGGTGGACCAAGAGGTGATTATCATGATTTGGAGAAGGCAGGCAGGGACTCTGCTCATACAGCTCTGGTGAGTCCTGCAACTCACTGGCACCTGATTTTGTGGACCTGATCCTCTCCCTCGCCTGTCACCCCCAGCATTGTGTCTTCAAAATAACCCACCTTCTTTCCAGGTCTTCAGGAAAAATCATTTATAGAGTGTTATTTCTTTCTCTAAATTGTCTGATGGTATCATTTTATGATTTGTGTGTGTGGGAGACAGGGTGGGGCAGCGGAGAGTAACATTTATTTCTATCCCAGCCAGAGTAGGACTGAATTATAATAGATCTTTTGGGAAGATACTGGGGTCACCCCTCACTTCAACTGTCATATAGGTAAAGTTGCTTTTAGGTGTCTCAGTCCGAGTGGTGGATGCCTAATATTTCTCCTGTCCCTACTAACTATAAAGGAGACCAGGTAGCCTAGCCTGGAAGCAGCACAGAATCTCATCTCTCTGGCTGTCAGGTTGGCCTGGGAGATAACCCAACTAAGACAGTTCATCCTTCCCTGGGAGTTTCAAAGTGGCATTGGCTCAAAAGAGTCAGCTTTCTTCTCTGGCTATTCAACTGCCAGAGTCTGAGGTTGTAGGAGTTGATGATAAACTTCCAATAAAGTCCAATTTGAGAAAATGATATAATATTCATGGGAAAACATAAATGAGGATTGAGGGGTAGATGGTATTAATATCCTCAATTCCAGTTATTCATGAGGTCAATTCCCACTCCTGGGTGTTCAAGAACTTAGCTACATAAACTTATAAATCACCTTCAACTGCTTCAGACAGTCTGATTTGTTGATTGCAACCAAGAGAGTCCTGGCTAATACAATCCCTTTTGTTAATGACTTCTCCCCACAAGCCCCAGCTGCAGGGAGCCAGTTGCCCTCATTCAGCAGCATCCGTGGGCTTCTCAGGGATTAACTGCTGCCTGCCATGAACCTTGAAAATCCCGCCCACAGGGAATGGTGTCCTATCATCAAGAGATAAAGCAACAGCTAAAGCTCCTGGAAGGCAGTGGCCTCTGCCCGCCTTGTTCACTGGTATGCTCATTTATCTGTTCGCTAAAAGGAAGAACAAGTGAATGTGGCCACTCATTAATTAATAGCACTTTAGAGGGGTGGACCATCTTTTTTTCTCTTTAGACATGTCTAGTCACTGTCCACTGCATCCTGAACTTAATCCCCTCCTTGATCCAACCTTAGTTTACCTGTCTAGTTTCTTCTCCTGCTATCTTCTACATGTGGGCAGTAGATTAGGACCATTTCTGCAGTCCATTTCTATAGCTCTTGTGGCAAGGAATGGCAGTTCCATCCATCTGGGCTGCAGTTCCCTGCACTCCTAAGT